AAAACACACACATTATATATATATAGTCATGTCCCACATAATGTTTTGGTCAACAACAGACCACATTTATGACAGCAATCCCATAAGATTACAAAGGAGGTGAAAAATTCCTATTGCCTAGTGACACTGTAGCCATTGAGTTACAGTTGCCTACAGTATTTAGTACAGTAACATGCTATACAGGCTTGTAGCCTGGGAGCAATAGGCTATACCACATACCCTAGGTGTGTAGTAGGCTATACCACGTAGGTTTGTGTAATTACACTCTATGATGTTCATATAATGACTAAATCACCTAACATATCGCCATCATTAGGCAGTATGTGACTGTGCATGTACATACACAAATATATAACTTCAGAGCTGCACTATCCCTCTGATCTCTTTTCACCCAATTCTTTAACAACGGGACTTCTCCTTTATTTAATATTCAGAGTCATACCACATACAGTACTGTACTGTTCACAAAGAATGGGATAGGTTCGTGCTGGTTACCAGCTATTTTAGAAAATAATTTTTTCTGGGCCGGCCTGGTGGCGCACTCAGTAGAATGCGGCGCTTGGGAGTGCGGCGGCACTCCCGCCGAGGGTTCGGATCCCATATAGAGACCGGTCCGCTCACTGGTTGAGCGCAGTGCAGGCGTGACACCGAGGGTTGCGATCCCATTGCACCAAGGGCTGTGATCCCGTTACCAGTCACGAAAAAAGACAAAAAGGGAAAAAAAAAAAAAAAAGAAAAGAAAAGAAAATAATTTTTTCTTTGTGTGTCATAGAATCACCAGTAATTCACAACTAAACTGAAAGCAATACTTCAGAAACAGAACTAGAAACAACTTAGCATGCCAATGAATTTTGTATAATATGGATCATTTTTAAAAGAAATATCTTGAGATGATCAATCCTCATTTCTAATACTTTAAAACTTCCTTCAGCTACAGAGGAATAGCTATATAAACCATACAAGAGGCTATACAGATAACCATGCCCCCCTTACCACTCAAAAGCCACCACAGCAAAGGAATGAATCCTGGGCTCTCGCTGATGTATTTCAAGCCTTTCAAATTGATGCTCATGTTGTACAAGGACATCAGCATTAACCTGAAATATAAAAGAAAATGGTGTTGAAATGTTAGTCCATTCGCACTGTATTTCACCCTAAATATATCTCCTAGTTAAGAGGACCTTAACATATTTAGAAGTTTCTTTACATTTCAGATGTCCAATTCTACAATCTGGAAAATAAGCATAGTAAGTATAAGGATCATGAAGTAGTATTTGCCTAGGTGAGGCTACAGGAAAATATGAAACTTTAGCAATGATATCACATGACACCACCTTTTATAGGCTCATGTAATCAAGAGACATGAATGCAGAAAAGGTCTCACAGGAAACCTCACAAACCACATATATTGATTCATCTCCTTTATTATCAATCCTCCATTTATATACAGATAATCCTCAATTCATAAATGTACTGTACTCTCAAAGCTCAATTCAGCCATCTAAAAATCTTAATGGTATGTTTTCATCCAGTGAACATTATACGTGACATCTGGGTAGCCAGGCAAGGCCACATAAGACTGCTTAATACACAGCATGAATGATGAAGAGTACCACAACCACAAAGCCATCCCCTGAGTAAAATAGGATTTTATGACCTATTTCGGGAATTGAACTACAACTGCCAAAGCAGAGTCAATGAAAGTTGGAAACTATAGCACGCTGCAGAATAGAGACCCCAAACACTTCACACGGCAAAGCAATAACAAAGGCTAGGCAAATTTTTTTGCAAAACCTTTAAAATAATGAGTGAGTTTGTAAAAAATGAATGGAAAACACCTCTAATCAGGAATGAAGTGAGAGCACAAATTCTGGGAGGAAAGTGCAAAAGATGACAGATTCCAGAAGCTTAGAGCTTCAGTTATAGTGGCTTAATGCAGAGGAACAGAAGGAAATCCTCAGAAAGACACAGACATTCAGAACACAGGCACTGCAGAAAACCATGAATTCACACTTTTGGCAGGCTTGAAAAATCTACAAGCTAATAATTTTAATATAAAGTACAACTGGGATAGGAGCTGCCCCAACTTCCTGGACATTAAAGGAAAAACCCTTCAACCTGGTCTTCAGAGAATTCCCACAAATACAGTACTAACAAATATGAGCTCATAATAAAACACATGGAAAAAATATGACCATATAAGTAACAGACAACACAAAGAACCAATGATAGAGCCAGAACCAAAGAAAAATTCCAGATACTAGAAGTATCAATTGCAGAATAGAAAAAGGATATGTTTAATAGGTGGCAGGGTTTGGATAAGTTATCTCCCACCAAAGCTCATGTCAAAATCTGATCCCCAATTTGGCAATGTTGAGAACAGTTTGGGTCATGGGGGCAGATCCCTCATGAATAGGTTAATGCCTTCCCTGGGGGAGTGGGGTAGGTAGTGAGTTCAAGGCTCTATTAGTTCCTGGGAGAGCTGGTTGTTTAAAGGAGCCTGGCACCTCCCCTCCCTCTCTCTCTTGTTTCCTCTCGCCATGTGATCCTGTACCCACCAGCTTCCCTGCTGCTTTCTGCTATGAATAGAAGCAGCCTGAGGCCTGCACCAGATGCAGCTGTCCCAGAATTGTGAGTCAAATAAACCTTTTTTCTTTATAAATTACCCTGTTCCAGGCATTTTATTGTAAGCAACAGAAAGATACTAATACAATAGGTGAAAATAATTTTTAAAGAAATGTAAAACATGATCAATAACCTAGGGCTACTATTACAAATGATCAGGCAATTCAAAATTAATGGTAGAACTTACAAAAAATGAAAACTATAATCACCAAAAGGTAAAACTCAAGGGTAATTAGACACATGGGAAAGGAGAAATACTAAACAGAAAACAGAGCTAAAAAAAAAAAAAAACTATAGCTAATACAGCAAAGAAGGAAAAATGGATGAAAGAGAGGCTATAGCACATGGAAGCTAACCTGAGAAAGTTCAATGTTCTTCCAATTAGGGTTCCATAAATAAAGAACAGAAAGAATAGAGGAAAAAAGATATTTCAGAAAGATAATGGCTGAGACTCTTCCAGAAATGAGAAAATATAAGCCCTCAGATTTAGGAGGCATAAAGAATATCAAGAAAAATAAATAAATACAAGTCTATATACATCGCAATCAAATGAAGAACACCAAAGACAAAAAGATTTTATAAGCAGCCAGAGAGTAAAGACATATAACCTACAAGGAGCAATTACACTCAAAGCTGGGCTCTTAATAACAAAAATAGAAGCCAAAGGCCAGGAAATTATATCACCAGTGCAAAGAGAAAATAATAGTAAACTTAGAATTGTGAATCCACCAAAAAATATTTTCAGTAAAGTAAAAGTATCAAAGAAAACCTCAGAGATTTTACTGCAAATGAACCTGAACTAAAGAATTTGGACAGACATCAGAGAAAAGGAAAATAACCCTCAGAAGAATGTTCCAAGATATAAGGAGAAACAGTGAGTAAAGGGAGACGAGGGTACAGGTAAGTAAACACTGGTGGTAGAAGCAATGATAACAATGGCTAACATGTGATTCTTAATTTTTCAACAGGTCTAAGATATGGTACACAAATGCATCCAGGAAGGGGATATTAAAGCATTCTAAGGTCCTTCTACAAGTACTGCTCAGGAGTAGAAAAAGACATTAATGATTTTCAACTTCATACCATATATACCAAAGCATGCTTTGAAAGGAGCTAATCACTGAAAGATAGAAATAGAGATAAACTTTCAAGATAGAAACAGAGATAAACTTTCAAGACACTGAAAGAGAGAAATAGAGATAAACTTTCAAGACACTAGAAGAAAAAAATGAACTCAAAAAAGATCTCGGTGAATTCAAAAGAAGATAAAAAATTAGAAAAGAACTCAGAAAACCCATAATAAACAGAAACAACAAAACATGATAGAAGAAATAAGTCTAAGTATTTCACTAACTTCCTGTTAAAAGGCATAGATTACAGGGAGGGAGGTTTCGGTGATGGGCCACAATAATCAACCACATTGTATATTGACAAAATAAAATTAAATTAAGAAAAGAAAAAAGAAAAAAAAGGCATAGATTACAGATTGTTAGACTGGATGGAAAATAAAATCCAACCAGCACTGTTTAAAAGAGACACACCTGAAATAAAAGTTCACAGAAAGGTTGAAAGTAAAAGAATGAGAAAAGATTTATCAAGCAAATACTAATAAAAAAAGGAAAAGAAAGAGAAGGCTGAGGTAGCTATATTAATAGAAAAGAAAATACTTTAAGGAAAAAATACTTTTAAAGATAAAGAGTGTAAATATATAATGCAGAAAGTTTCAGTTCATCAAGGGAATACCATTCTAAGTTTGCATGCACCTAATTATATAGTCTCAAAATTATATAAAAACACAAATTGACAAAACTGCAAGAAAAAGCTGACTAGTCCCCAATAATGAGATATTTTAAGCCACCTCTTACAGTACTTGATACATAAGCTGATTCTCTGACCCATCATGCAACTAAGTTAAAAATCAGTTTTTAAAGTAAGTTTTAAAACCCTAAACAATGTTTGGAAAATTAAAAGTACATCTCTATATAAATAGGTCAAATAAGAAATTATGAGGAAAATTAGGCACTATTTAGACCTGAACAATAATAAACATAAAACATAAAACTTGTAAAGTGATGGGCCGGCCCGGTGGCGCACTGCTACAGTGCGCTGCTTGGGAAGCGCGGCAGGCGCTCCCGCCGAGGGTTCGGATCCCACATACAGACCGGCCGCTCACTGGCCGAGCGAGGCGTGGGAGCAACACCGAGGGTTGGGGTCCCTTTGCCGGTCCCGGTCCGGTACGGGCGCAACACTGAGGGTTGCGATCCATTGCCAGTCACGAAAAAAGACAAAAAGGAAAAAAAAAAAAAACTTGTAAAGTGATGGGCCGGCCCGGTGGCGCACTGCTACAGTGCGCTGCTTGGGAAGCGCGGCAGGCGCTCCCGCCGAGGGTTCGGATCCCACATACAGACCGGCCGCTCACTGGCTGAGCGAGGCGTGGGAGCAACACCGAGGGTTGCGATCCATTGCCAGTCACGAAAAAAGACAAAAAGGAAAAAAAAAAAAAACTTGTAAAGTGATGGGCCGGCCCGGTGGCGCACTGCTAC